TGTTCGTTCATACATTGGAGGCGTCCGCTCATCTGCGTGATCTCCATGGAGTGTTCCCCAACTGGTGCTTGCCTCTGTGTTTACTCCTCGTGCGCATGGAGCTGTAACCTTGATGTCATCTTCAACTTTGGGGAAGTCGGCAGGGCTCGCTGCTGGTGTGTCATCTTGCACCACCACAGTACTTATATCCGGCTCAGTAGTACCAACGTTTAATCCATCATAGACGTGCCAACCTGGTGTCCCGTTTGCTCTTAACTAGTTGGGAATCGACGCTTGCACTTCTCAGAACGAGTTTTGAGATTAGGCCATATTGCAAACTAGATTATTCGCAAATCCTGCAGCAAATAAACAAATAAATGGTAAATGGCTTATCGATGCGAGAAGCCGTTCCCAGAAGTGACGGATCAAATAATGGTACCGCAGTTTCGTAGCATGGTATAATAACTTTAAAATATGTGAGCCCAAAATGAAAATTTGTGCAGTGCGAAGCAGTCCAAAATATTTACATTCCTGCCGTTCTATCGTCTGACAAGTTTTTAGCAGTCACATGAGAGTTGATCGCACACGAAAAAAAGAGAGAATAATGCTGCGGGCCAACAAAATATAACCACTTGTGCACTTGACCACATGCATTTTCAGGCACCGTTAACTCCGTTCTCAAAAGCGTTATCTAAGGACTGTGCTGTTCGAACAATTATTATCACATTTTGAACGGTTAAATGATCTTTTATCGAAAGCTTAAACAAACGCAATGTGCAACAAGTTCTGATAGCTCTTGGAAGTTTGTTCCAAAGCTTTGAGCAGTGTATTAAGAAGCAACGCTCCCTAATTCGCGTATTGAACTTTGGAATCATGACCGTTGTCTCCTTATTTCGTAGCTCGTATCTAGTGTTAACGGACATATGAACACAGTTAGCATAATTGCGCATGTGATGGTGAATTATTCTGTACAGGAAACACAAGTTCATCTTCATTATCCGTAGCCAAAGTGGGTCAAGTCCAAGTTTTTCACTGCGCTCTCTGTAGGTCATCTTGGAAGAATATCCGCACAGCTTCTTTGTAAAGCGTCGCTGTACCCTCTCAAGAGCATGCTGGTCAGATTTCCGCAGATTCGACTGTAGTAGCGAGCAGTATTCCATGACAGGTAACACATATGTTTTGTAAAGCCAGATACGAGATTCTGTGAGTTGAAATTTATGACAGATAAAGCCAATAGTCTTCATGGCTTTCAAAACTTAGAAGTCACAATGTTCCGAAAAGTTGAAGGTAGTGGAATACCGCACACCCAAGTCGCGAATCACTTTGCACTGGGATATAAACGTGCCTTGTAATAATAGACTGCCTGGTGGAACTTCGCATTTGTATGACAGAATATTACCCTTGTCCACGGAAAAGGACATCTGCCACAGTTTGCACCAGGATTCAAGTGCCGATAGATCTTCCTGAATGTGGTACAAGGCTGCGCGGGTATCTGCACGTTCTTGTGAGTAGACGATTTTAATGTCATCAGCAAACAGAAAAGTAGCACCATGTCTTATTCTTTGAAATACATCGTTGATGTAAAGGAGGAAAATAAGTGGACCAAGTACACTTCTCTGAATTACTCCACTGGTGACTGCTTTCGGTTTAGAGACACGGTCGCCAATACGCACCACCTGATGTCTGTCAGCTAGGTATGACGACAACCAAGAAAACATTGGTTCTTCAATACCTATTTCCTTCAGCTTGAGGAGTAGTCATCGATGCGGCACTCTGTCGAATGCTTTTTGCATGTCTAAGAATAGGACAATAACACTGTTGCCTTTGTCTATGGCAGCCGTTGTGTGGTTTAAGAAGTCTGTCTGGCATGTCGCACAAGATCTGCCCTGCAAAAAACCGTGTTGTGAATTGTTGATGACGTTTTTCTTATTCAAGAAAATATCATCATCATCATCATCATCATCGTCGTCATCATCAACAGCAGTACATCAGCCGTTTGAACTGATGCTTCGCTGCCATACAACCATGAGGACCTATGAAATAAGGAATAAGAAGAGGGAGAGAAGGGGGACTTACCTGAAAACCTTAATGCCCTAAGCAAACATTCAGGGTCAAGGCGCCTACATCTTGTGTCGTCAACATAGAATCACAAACAGCTGGCTATCGTGCAAAGATAAGGCGGCATCGGCGAGACAGCTTCCTTGCGGCTTTCACTGCCACGCGTCATAATCAGCCATTACCCCGCAGATAACTCAGCACCAAACATACTTTAAACAGACAATCCGATTAGGAGACGGCAGCAGACGCCCCACTGGTGTCGGTTGCGAGCCATGTCCTGTAAAGTCTCGAGCCAAGCACAAGGCGAGTCACGTGGACTCTAACCCGGAAGACCAGACGGACTAACTGCAGCCAGTTTGGTCGTCAGTAACTTCATTTCCGGCTGTCAAGGCAACTTCTGTCCACCGCGAGCTTTACGCCACTCTACACCTGGCAGACTAAGCAAGGCCCTCCTAGGTAAGCGGAGACCAAACATACGTAGCACGTGCCCGAGCCAACGCAACTTATTCAGTGCTGTGTGTTGTTCTAGGGAGATAGCATGATTATCATTACCTAGTACTCGCCTACGCATATCATCATTGCGAACACGCTGGTACCATCCGAAACCAGCAATGCTTCGCAGACAACAATAATCAAAGACTTGAAGGCGCCTCAGATCTACAGACCGAAGGGGCCAAGTCTCACTACCATACAACAGAACGGCCTTCACTGTGGCCTTGTATACCCGGCCTTTCAGACGGAGGGAAACTCCCTTTTGTCTCCAAAGATGACGCAGGTTAGAGAAGGAAAATTTGGCCTTTGCAATGCGTGAACTGGCGTCAGTTTCTATGCGGGCATCGTTGCTAATGCAGCTGCAAAGAAAAATAAATCGATCAATTCCTCGAATTCCTAGTTAGCAAGGGTCAAGGGGTCGTCAATTGGCTGGTGGTCCTGCAGCAACACTTTGCGCTTTGAAGGTGCGAAGTGCATACCAAATAATGGGACCACTCTGGATAGGCTATTCAGGGTTGATTGTGCCGCCTCAACCTTGTCGAAAAGCAACACGATATCGTCCGCATAATCTAGATCAACTAACCGTTCACCAGGCAGCACTTCAACACCTACGTCGTGAGATTCCGCAAGCAAACTCTCCATGATAGAATCCACGACGAAATTGAACAAAAACGGGGAAATCGGGCAACCCTGTCGAACGCCACTTGTAGTCGAAAAGCTATCCGATAGGGCACCATAGACCCTGACGCGGCCTCTAGTGTTCGAGTATAGAGCACGAAGGATGTTCACATATTTCGTGGGAACACCTTTACGCGTAAGTATTTCGAACAGAATCGATCGATCGACTGAATCGAACGCACTCTTGAAATCGAGGAACACAGCTATTGTCGGTCTGCGGTATGCGTGGCGCTGCTCTAGCACCTGCCGCAAGAAAATAAGTAATTCATCTTTCACTATCCTTTCCATAATTCTAGATATTACAGGTGTGTGATTGATTGGGCGATAGTTTTAATTTCGTGAACGTTCCTATTCTTATGCCGCGGGATAACAACGGACGTCTTCCAGTGATTAGGATATACTGCACTGTTAAAAGAGAGCGGAAAAGTGTTTAGCAATAGAAGAGGCAAGTCGCTCCCACCGCTTTTTAACAAACAAGGGGGAATTCCATCAGGTCCTGGGTAAGTCGAGGAAAACAAGCGGGAGACTTGACCGGAGATTTTTGCAATAGTCAATTCCACTGTGCATAAACTTTCAGTAATGTGTTGTGTGACAAGTGCTGGTGTGGCTAGCGGTTCATCAACCATTGATTCGGCGAAATAGGCGCTGAAAGCCTCACAAATTTCACCCGGAGCATCAAGGTATGTGCCATCCGGCATAATGAAAAATTGATGGAATTACTGTGACGCAAACCTCTGGCACGAAACAGTTTGGACAGTTCCGTTGTTTTACTCGGGCCATTCAAAGCTTTGTATTCTTCTGATATGAGATTGCGAACATTTAGATGCCCGAGTTCTTCGATGATTTTTGCCTGCTGCAGTATTAGTGCAAAGTCTGCCGTTAATCTGTATTTCCGCCTGATCTTATGAAGCTTGCGTGTGATACCTAACACTTTGCGATCGCGTTTTTGTTTTCTTAGGCGGGCACACTTTAGAGGCACTAATGAATCAAGGCAAAGACCGATGATATCATAGAACACGTCTGCTGCTTTTTGAGGGCATGGAGAGAGGAAGAAATCATCCCAGTTCATCGAACGAACCATATCCTTAAACCTTTTCCAGTTGATGGAGTTGAATAAATGATAGTGCAGTTGTTGACCAGTTGTTGACCTAATTTCTAATGCACAGTGCCGCGCAGCCGATAGCGTGACTGGTCGCATGCCGCTTTTTAATAAGCATAAGCAAATTTACTACTTAGTTACCACTGTGTACTGTAAATTTGACCAAAAATCCGAAGGAAACTATTGCGGAACTGGTTAACAGCCATCAATAAACATCAGTACACACAGCTGACATTTCTAGATGAGCACAGAGGCAATCTGGGAAGCTGCGGAAAATATTGGTAGGGGTGAACATTGCACACGGTCATGAATTTAGTCCCTTCCGGAGTTAGCGCATGTGCTCCTATGTCATTAAACGAGATGCGGAAGATTCTTAAGCATGTTCAACGTCTTGATGGCAATCGCTGCAAATGATGTTGTTGGTTGAATTCACAAGATGAATTTATCCAGAGTTGGATTTAGAAAGCAAAAATAATAATACAGGTAAACACTTCCGTCTCTCTAGACTATCATCTCCGAAGTTAACTTTTGTGAACAAGGAAATGCAGACCGTTGTTAGTGGAGAGCGCAACAAGCACCAGGATAGACGAATATGTCGTTGATAAGTTCCGATAGCATGAGAGACGATAAAACGGTTTGAACTAATTGGAGGTTCAAGAGCAATGTTTACAAATACTTTTATTTCTACTTTTAGCAACAATGTTTCATCAATGCGTGGCGTCAGCTGGCGATGAATCCCAACGCGATTGCAGACGGAGCTGAGAAGCAAGGAATGAGTGCCTCGCGTAAAGGCACCGTATCAAGATTGCATCGCAAAAAGCCATTAGCGGAATCAATCAAAAGAACTAGATCGCTGATTGGAAGAGTCAATGATTAGTTGTCATGTGAAATCCGGCCATTCAAATTGTTCAGGTCATGACCACATTCGAAGGACAAACCAGAGACGCGTGCCATAATACCCTTGGGAATGACTTTATGCCATTTGTCTTCGGCTTTTTTGGCCTCGCAACGTACTCAAAGTCAAATAAGCTGGTTTTTCCAGGGACAAGACAGTTTATATGGGTTCATTAACACCTAATAGGAACGAACGACTATGAGAGCTGATAGGTGGTACAAAAGATGCGGACCGTTTACGCATGAAAAGAGCTGCGGGTGGCTGGTATACCAGCCACTAATTGATCAATTCTCAGTCCTAATGTCAGATTAGTCCGACAGGGTTGGAGAGGAGTGTGCGGAGATCTTCCCATTGCGGTGGAGCACGTTGATGAGGGACGAAACACAGATGTTCAGTCGGTGCCGAGAGTGACGAGGACGAGGCAACCAAATAATATCCACGGCTCTGGTTACCACGTGCCGGAAATGGTACCAACAAGGAGCAGCCAAAAGCGCCGTAGGCTGACACATGAGTATATGTCCATGTAAAATATACTACCTACTAAGTATGAGTAGTATATTATTACCAACCGTAATAGTGCAGCCCATCACACCATTAGGCAGACGGGAAAATGCATGGTAAGTTTGTATAAATTCCCTAACTCACCATAAATTGGCGCAGTATAGTTGGACTTTCATGTATCCAAAAGCATGGAGTGTTCTTATATTTGCTATATCAAATAATACTGTGCTGCACAAGGAAGACTCCTGCAAATTGGCAGATATCAGTAATACCATATCCCACAGAAGCACTTGCACCATCAATACAGCGGCAGAGCACCAGTACTTCAGTACTTCAGCATACAACCAGTAATAAAGAATGACACCAGTAATACAGAGCAAGGCTTTGTGAAAAGGGCCTTAGCAACATTAGGCAGTAGCTCACACTCAGGATGTTTGTATCATGCAAACACCATAGGACTACCTACAGCTGATAAGCTGCGCTCATCATCGCCATCATTGTCATTAAGAGCAGTACATCAGCCTTTGGAACTGATGCTTTGCTGCCATACGTCCATGATGACCTAGGAAACGACGAAAAATAAGTGAGAGAGAGGAGGGACCTGGCGTAAAAACTTAATGCCCTAAACAAGCACTCAGGGTCACGGTGCCTTCATCTTGTCAACAACACACCATCAGAAACAGCAGACTAACGTGCAAAGGTAAAGCGGTATTGGTAAGACAACTTCCTTGCGGATTTCGCTTCCCCTTGTCATAATCAACCGTTACCTCGTAGATAAAAGCACCAAACACACTTCAAACAGGCAGTCGAACTAGACGACAGTAGACACGCCACTGGTGTCGACTGCGAGCCATGTCCTGTAACGTCTCAAGCCAAACACAAGGCAAGTCACGTGAACTCCAGGCAAGACAGACCGACGGTACCTAGTTTGTTCGTCAGTGACTCCATTTCCCGCAGCCAAGTTACTTGTTGCCTACCACGGGCCTTGCGCCACCCTAGATTTGGCAAACAAAACAAGACCACTTTGGTAAACGGCGACCAGGCATACGTGGTACGCGCCCTAGCCAACGCAACTTGTTCAGTGCTATCTTTTGTTCTAAAGAAATATCCTAGTTATCACTGCAGTTTGGCACATATCTGGTGAGAGCACCGTGTGAGCAATGAGCGTGTTCGACCCATTGTTTATATCCCAGGAAAAACAAGTGAACTGCTCATCTTCGTTATATCACGCACCAGGCCCCTATGGCTTGGCCACGTGTTGTGCATTCCAACCCACTGACTTCCACGACGTGTGTTGTTTGCTCGCCAGGAGTGTGGATGGAAGAAAAGGAGGGGTGGCCAATTGATGACTTGGTCAAAAGGAATGAAGGCCCTCACTTCGAAACTGGCCTGGTTTGAAGCCTCTCGGCTCCCAGCTTGGTGTCCGAAAAACGATGAACATGTTTGGCTAGATACACTTGTTGGCATGGCAAGGAGTCGACTTCAGTGGCGTTTGTGTTGTTTCTTTCACCCTCCCTCTCCTGCTTAGCCTCCCACTGCAACTGCGATCTCGATTACTAAGTATAATGTGCCTTTTGCGAAGCACAATAGCCGGCTGTTAACTCTACGGAATGATGTCCATCCATTAGTGTTGACTCAGCCAGCGTGCCTTTTGCATGTTTTCTTCTTTTCTATTGTATTGCGACACAATGAATGATGTGTATTCCATCTCTAGCTAGCGTGTATAACGACACTGATTTCATCACTGTCTAGTACTCGTCTATGCACATCGTCGTTGCGGACACGCTGGGGCAATCCGACACCAGTAATGCTCCACAGACAAGGATGATCAAAGACTTGAAAGCCCCGCAGGTCCTCAGATCGGAGGGGCCAAGTCTTGCTCTCTTAGAGTAGGACGGCCCTCCCAGTGGTCTTGTATACGCAGCCTTTCAGACGGAGGAAAACCCCTTTCTGAGGCCACAGATGTCATATTCAAAAATCTGATCTGGCTCTTGCAATGCATGAACTGAATTCAGTTTCTATGCGCCCCTCGTTGCTCACGTAAGTGCCAAGGTAGATGAAGCGATCAACCACCTCGAGTTCTTCGCCATCAAGTGGCTGGTGGTTCTGCGGTAGCACTTTGCACTTTGAAGATGCGAAACGCATACAAAATAATGGAACCACTCCACACAGGTTATACAGGGTTGATATGGCTGCGCCAACATCGTTAAAAAGCAGGACCATATTGTCGGCATAATCAAGACCAACTAGCTTTTCACCAGGCAGCACCTCAACGTCTGCATCATGACGCTCCGCAAGAGAACAGTCCATAATGCAATCCACGAGGTAGTCGAACAAAAATGGGGAAATTGGACAACCCTGACGAACGTCACTTATTGTCTGAAATGCATCCGACAAATCACCGTAGATCCTGACGTGGCCTGTTGTCTTCAAGTGTAGAGCTGTCTGCCTGTGTCTGACTGCGACGAACCTACACAAAAATCTAATGAATCCCCCTACTACTTACAAGTATAGAGCACGTCGGATGTTCACATATTTCATGGGAACACCTTTCCGCACAACTATTTCGAACAGAATGCATGGATCGACTGAATCGAACGCACTCTTGAAATGGGAAACAGCTATTGTCGTCCTGCGGTACACGTGGTGCTGCACTAGCACCTGCGGCAGAGTGAATATATGGCCTATATAGTCCCATCCTGGGTGGAAAGCTGCCTGCTTTTGCCTAATCCGGGATTCTCGTTTCGCCGTGTGGCAACGAATGAGAATCGACACCAGTACTTTTGTCACAACTGGAGTTAGCACATCCGTTATGGCTGCCCTTCTTGTTTATCGTCACTATAATTGATTCACTCCAGCTGAGATGGCCTCTGCCTTTCAGACCTGTTCGAACAGGGAAGTCTGTGCTTTGCAGTGGAACTCACCTCCATCTTTAAACAGTGCAGGTGGGAGGGAATCCACTCCAGTGGCAAGAAAACAATTGAGGGCTGCGATCGCGTTTCGGACATCAGCCTCCGAGGGAGCCCCTTAACAAACTCTTCAGGGCTCATCCTGCATCATCTGAGTAGGAAGAGGTCCGGAAGCAGCTGGACAAGTGCACTGCTCTCGAAACTGCTCCGCCCAACAAGCCATACGGCTCTTCTTATTGTGAATCATTGCATCTGCGCTGTCTCTGATTGTTTCACTGACGCCTGGTTTCCTGGGACCAGTGGTGCGGATCAGTTGGAAGAGATTGCGGTAATTGCCTACTGCTCCAGCCTCCTCCATTAATGAAGCCCGACTGGTCCACCAGGCTTCCTTGTCAGCTCGCAACCTCCGCTTTACTTCGCGCCCAATAGTCCACTTAGTTACATCGTGTTCAGAGCCAGTCAGGAGTTTTCTTCTGGATTCCAACAGGTTTACCAACCTCGGGTATCCAGTAACTGATGCAGTGACGATTGATGGTGCCGCAAACAGAGACTTCTGTGTGGTAGTTGGTGGCTGAGATTCTATTCCATTGGAGCGCAGCGTCATGACAACAAGTGAGCGAAAGTTCAGTACGCAGCGCATCCTGGTAGGCTTAACTGATCGACGGCTGAGATATTTGCTCGATTGCCAGTCGAGGAAGGCGCGTAGTATGCCTCCCGGCAAATTTCTTAGAAAACGACATCCTACCAAAGCATAATCAGAGTCGACGCAGGTACTACTGAGAGTTAGACAATCCAGGATGGAACCACGTAACTTGTAACCTATGGCAATGTGATCGACTTGGGTCCATCGCTGGTCAATTATAGGAGGATGCCAAGTGGCACTTCGGCTCCCACTGTGGCTAAAAGCGGTAGCACTAAGAAACAACCGGTGCTCCGAGCGTAGTTGCGACGGAAGCAAGCCATTGTCCGTAAGATCGGAGTTCCATCCATACTTACCACCTAGCAGAGCGACTGAAGAGCTCAGACGCCTTACTTGTGCATTCATATTCCCTTTAAGAACGATGACATCTGAAACGGTAACACTGCGTAGTAGCATGTTCAGTTCATGGTAGAAAGCGTCCTTCGCAGCATCCGATCTGCAATCAGTAGGGGCATAAGCGGAAACCACAAACAAACAAGGTATTGTACTACTTCGTGTATCAACCTTCCTTGATGTCCTCAAACGGAAAGCACACAAACGGCTGTGCACCGGAATCTTGGAGCCGAGAACAATGCCCACTCTCGTCTGACCAGTAAATATCACATCAGCGTCTCCGGCTGCGTGCAACCAATAGCAAGAGGACAAACCGGGCGCAGTCAATTTTACAACCCCGTATAGGTCCTTGATCGTAGTTTCGGATACGCAACGCACGTCAATTCGCAGTGTGTCCAACGTGCGTGCGAGTGCAGCCCATTGACCTATTTGTCTTAGAGGGCGAACGTTGAACGCCGTCAGGGAAACGGGACACCTTGGCCTTATAAAGAGCAGTTGGCAGTTGTTATCCAATGCGGGGTACGGAAGGTAGCTGCAGATCGTATGACTCCAATGAGATCGCGGTTGCTATCCATTAAACTGGTAATTATGAAAGGAAGGGTACTTGGAGGGGAGTAGGAGAAACATGTGGAAAAGCAAGCAGGGAGCCGCCAGCAGTAGAGTGTGTTGGTTTATTCCCCTGTTGCATACAGAAGATAAGGCAAGCAAAGATAATCTACGAGACGGCCGATGCAGGATATGGTTGAAGTTGGAAGAAGTATTCCTGGTTGTCCGCGGGCCAAGATACTACCCCCGGCATTCGAGGAAAAAGCCTTTTCATCAAAACACTGTACGCAAGACAAGTTTCTTCCTGGGAGCACTGTCGTAGCCAGAGTTTCTAACAGAACATAGGAGGATAGAAACGAATGCATCTAAAACTCCACCACGTGTTTCCTTCAACTGTGAATTACTATACCGAGAAGTAGAGGCGCAGACATGAACGCCCAAATGCTTTTTAGGGGCTGGTAAAGTGTCACTTAATGTGGATTTATCTCTACTATTAACAGCACCAAATACACGGTGACTCTCCGAGGTGAGATGTCACAGCAGAACCTTTAAAGTATCCTTCTCTTCTCAATGTCACGGGGGGATAGATAACCCGTAGTGCAGAGATCTAATCTGGTGAACTGATTTTCCAATTTTTCTATCATTCT